CAGAGCGAGGGGTGGGGGGGGCCGGCACCTCGGGCTGAGGGCTTGGGGCGGGTGTGCGAACCCCTGCGGGTCCTGGGGACGAGGGGCCGTAGCCCCAGCGCCCCTGCCTTTGCCGCGCGGGGCGTGTCAGCGAGCGCCCAGCGCCCTGGAGAGGGGCCCGGGGCTGGCCACCGCGGAGGCCCTGGACTTTCCGTCAGTTCCAGGCTGGAGGCAGCGGAAGGTAGGGCTTGGGGCGGGGTTGGGGGAGGATTTGTTTTGGATGTGCGATTTAGTGTCAGAGTGAAAGATGAGGGCCAGGACGAAGAGCGCTTTCATTTACTGCACATTGAGCTGTCGGCCAGCTTTTGGTAAAGTAGTCGTTGCTGTGATTGTTTACTTTGTTGCTCCTAAAAAGGAGTGCATTTTGTTGTTTTGGCTTGTTTACATGTATGTTCACTCATTTCATTCCACAAATATTGAGTGCCTACTACACACCAGCCATTATGTGTGTGGGGTGGCGGTGTACTATCCACTCAAACTACAGTGCTAGCGCTGTCTCTGCAGTTGTTATTAAGAGTGAGACTGTGGAGGATACTTAGTCTTCGTGTCAATGATTTATTCCAAGGTCTGCCTTTCCTTAAATGTTTTTAAACTATAAATGTAGTTTTTCTTACTCTAGAAAATGTAGAAACATAAAGGGAATAATTACTATCTATAAGCCTATAAGCCTAGTATTCAGAGATAGCTGGTTTTTAACATGCTAACATATTTTCTTTAAGTCTTCTATCTGGGTATTTAGAAAAATTGAAATCCTAGGCATCCATTTCCTCAGGAGTTTCTCTGAACTACTAAGTTGTTTAAAATTATTCCATCAAACCTCTACTCATTAGACAGAGATTATTCTCTAAGAATCAGATGATGATGAAACTTTTTTTTCGTTTGCAATTTATATCAGCATTTAAAAATTTTTTCTTTGTGTGAAAATGTGCCTAGCATCTTAAGTGGAGTACAGATATTTAAAATAGGACTTATATTCAATAACTTTGAGTGACTTTTTTTCTTTTAAGTTGGATTATAACAATTGTTTGTCTATTTTGCAGGAAGACCTACCTCACTGACACTTGAAGCACTTTGAGTTGTAAACAGCAAAATAATCTGTTTAATTTTACCATCTGTGCTGTCCAGGATGCAACCTTTTGAGGGAAATAGGTTGTATTAATTTTTTTTAGTTTAGGCAAAAAATTTTTAAGTTAGGTAAATAGAACAATAAGCAACGCTGATTTTCTTATCTTTATTTTACAAATATTGAAAAGAACTACCTTTTTAAAAAAATAGTTTCCAACATATACAGTGCTTCTTGGGTAACATTTCATAGAAGTTAAAACTTCACAAGGGCAGTGATCTCATCTGCTTTTTGCTTAGTCTTTAAAAAGGTTCTTCCTACTGTAGTATCTGACACTCAGTAGATATTTATTGAATGAGTAAATTCAGTTTTTGTCTTAGCTGGTTTAGATCATTTACTGTTCATTCATGCCCTCATCAGAGGCAGTTGAAGAGAAGAGAGGGATTTGTATTTCAACCTTATTTAAATTAAATTTTAATTATGTTTAAGAAATTTTAGTAACATCACACTGATTTGAGTGGATCGCTATCTAAGCTAGCTATATTTTCATTATTTTTATTTGCATAATCATTGTCTGCAAAATGGATATAAGTGCTAACTTTAATTACAGTTTACACATAGATTTAGTATAGTAGCTAAAATAAATTTCATTTTCTGGCTTAGACTTCAATTCGTATAGTTATTTATGTGGATAATATTATTAAGGCTTTTCATGTTCAAATAGTTGATGGTGAATATAAATTATCATCCATGTCTAGTAATGGGGTCTGTTTCGTAGGTTTTGTCTAAATAGCTTTTACTTTTTGGAAAGAAGTCACTATAGACCATTTGTACATTTTAAGCGGCCCCCTTCCACAGATTTAGTGAAATGAACAAAGCAGTATGTATGCATTTATGCTACTTTTCTTTACCTTTCAGAGTTACCATACCCTGGGCATCTCATCCCTGTCTCTAATATCATTCATCCTAATGAATTCACTTTTTGTTTTTATATCTCAAATAAGAGATTATTTGAATTAAGTTGGGAAGAAGTGGGTTTAGTGGAAATATGACTGGGTTCTAAGTTGACTTTGTCATTAACAAGTGTGCCCTTTAACAAGGTATGCAACCTTCTCATTTTCCAATTTTGTCATTGGTAAAATAATGTTGGACTAAATCATTGGTAACTTTCAATGATAGCCCTAAAATTAATAATTGACTTCAAGCAAAATGTGTTCATATTTGGTTTTAAATTTCTTCAAATATGAAAAGGATAATAATGGTGGATATATGTTTATAGTACTAGATCGGGCATGTGCATTTTTCTCTGAAAACAAAAACATTTTGAACTGTGTCTTTCATTTTGTGATTCTCTGGTGAGCTCTGGAAAAAGTGAACAGTTTACAAAATCAAAGGAATCAAAAACAAAACCTCATCACCACATATCATTCTAGTATACTAATACATACACGGTAATGCTTTTCCTTACTCCTTTACCAATTTAGGCATATTCTCAGTTTAGATTTAAAGCCTTTTAATATAAGTGCACAATACTTTAGGTTTAAAGCCTTATATAAGTTCAATGGTGTTAGAGTTTTAAACTTTGGAATTGGGCTATTTGGTTAGGTAGAATAGTCAGGACAAGAGCTGAATTGAATTTTGGTTCATTGTGATTGTTTATGTAATTATTTCATCAGTTTTTTTCACCAGTGAACATTTATGTAGTATAGACTAGAAACATTTGTATGGTACCTATCTCAGCAAATAAGTACTGTTTTATCATGTTTTTCACAGATTGTGGGGGAGAGAAAGTAGGTCATTTGAGGACTCTAAATCTTCCACACTCAACTCCAAAATATTCATAGACTGACTTTGGTTCTTTACACCAACAAATATCTTCCCTGTACATTCTCTATCATTTAGAACTTTGAAAAATTAAATTCTTAAAGTCCTTAAGAGTTTTTTTAACTTGAATTTTTCATCCATAGAAAATTAGATATTAGTCATTTTTTTCTGTCTTTTTTTTTTTTTTTTTGGCCTTTTTGAGACCGGCTGCACCACGATCAGCCAGTGAGCGCTGTGAGCGCGCTGGCCATCCCTATATAGGATCCGAACCCGCGGCTGCGCTCCCAGCACCGCACTCAGGAGAGTGCGCCAGGGGCTCGGCCCTTTTCTGTCGTTTTTAAGCTTCATGGTTGACTGAAAAGCTTACATATTCCTTTGATTTTAATTCTGTTGGCAAAGAGAATTAAAATCTAAATTAACAATGTCTTATATGCAAATTATTAAAATATACATATTTAAAATATATATGCAGAAACATTTACAAATAACATTTGTCAAACTTTTAAATCAATACTTTAAGAGAAACTCCCCACACAGTCTTAATTTTCCTATCTTATGGATAGAAAGGACTAACGGGATTTAAAGAGATAATGTGATGAGTTAAGCAGGATGGAGACAAATGATAATTTCACAATCAAAGTACTTTTAATAAAATGTACAGTCTTAGTTTTCTGTAGGTCAGGATATTATTTCAGAACTTGAATATTAGTATTATTTCAAATTACATTAGTACCTTATTTTTCCAGTGTAGTCAGGGAATGAGGAACTCATATTTTCTATGTAACTCATGTTTGAGTTAAGCTTAAAATTCTTCCATCAACTGTAGTGCTTCATATGTATCGTAAAGTGCAATCTTCAGTATAATTTAAGTTCATAATTTAAGTGCTCAAATTTAAACCACAATAAACAATGATATTTAAAAAATTTTGGATGAATAGCTTTTAAAAAAAAGGACTAAATGTCTTTCTGCCTTCTTTAAAAAGGCTATACATAGCATAGTGTAATCCTTATTGATGACTTTAGTTTGGGTCTGTTTCTGTGAATATGCCAGCTGTGCAGTGGATGCCCTTGGATACTCGTAAGGTACATAGAGCTTTTTGCTAAATGGACCCAGAAGACCATATGTTTGGAGTTCTTTGTCTGCTTTTGTTTTTTGCTGTTTCTTCCTACCAAGTTAGCTGATATTTCTTATAACTTTGTCTGTTTCTAGTAGCTCTTTTATTTGTACTTCCCATGCTGACTTGCTGACTGTAACTAGCTGTGAGCTAGGAAAACAGACAACTGAACTTAATCATGTTTTTGTGGGTTTTTTGTTTTTTTTTTAAAGCACCCAGTGGGCTTTTTTCAGTGAATGAACTTCAGCAGTCTGAACTTCTTAACATTCTGGTTGCTGAGTAATCAGAAAAAATATCTATTCTGATGCTCAGACTTGGTGGGAGAAATGCAGATATATGAAATCTTCCTGAACATTACTGGCAATATAGTACTTTAAATCCAGTGACTCACTTTCCTTGTATGCTTCATAAGACTGTTCATCCTTTGGCTGTAGTGATTATAATATTTTTGGCTAAAGCTCTTTTAGTCATGCTATATGTAGTAGACTGGTAGAACTTTAGGTTGGGACTTTGAACATAGTATATTGCTTTGCAGGTTTAGTATCATTTCTAAGGATTCTTAGTGCTCTATTAGTAGGTGCTCACAATGGAGGAAGGGTGATCCTCTTTTCAGCTACTAGTCCTGGGTAGACTTTTCAGCGTTTGTGAAGGGTCATTATCTCTTCCCCAGCTAAACTGGGTTCATATTAATGAACAGCAGAGAATAGCTATCCCCAGCCATTTACTAGGGGGTGTTTGTTTTCACTTTGCTGCTGCTTGGTAAATGTCAGAAGTTCAGCTGAGGGATATGATATTCAAGGGGAATGTTTGAAACTTATCCACTTTTGTATTCATTGTTAGGGTTTATAGAATATATCCCTGGGTCAGTCCAAATCATCAGAGAACAGCTGGGTATGTAGACTGCATTGCTCTGCACTCTTCTGTTCCCAGTTGCTTTTGCCCGATTGTGCATGGGTAAAATTCCATCAGCCTACCATGTGGGTCATCATATGAAACAGTTACAGAGGGTCTTCTTAAAGTTATTGTCAAGAACACTGTTTATTATATCAAAAAGTGGCTTTTTCGTGAAGACTTCTATGAGAAACATCTGTCTTATTTTAGTGCCAACACTTGTATTTCTGGCCAATTGATTTATTTACATGTACTGGATACATGTACTGTTCACTGGATACAAATGAATGTGTAACTGACAACTTTGTCTTTTTCCTATACAGTTTTTAGAAATTTTAGTGTTAATGTTAAGACAAGTGAACAGATATGATGTAGATGGGGGAGGGGCAGAAGGAGGGGGGAAAGAGGAATTTGG